TGGCAGTAATAAAAAAGACTGATAATTTGAGCCTCCCTGGTGGCAGAAGGGGTTAAGCACAGCATTGTGAAGCTATTTGCAACCTCTGAAGCATGAATTCTATCCCTGGCTGGCCAGGGAGCTATCCACATGGCACAGTAGACCCCTCCTGTTCTCACCCGCTGCCCCCCTCAGCAGTGTATTTCAGTCAGTCTGCCTGTTCTGTTCCCCACTCTGTCTCTGGTGAATCCTTTCACCACCACCCCCACACCTCTGGCCTATACCCCAGTTCTTATATGCATAAATAAATAAAATAAATCCTTAAAAAAAAAGATTGAAAATTTATTTTGGATCCTTAAAAGACAGGAGGGCACCGAACAAATCACTCCCCCAAGATTAGTTAGAAAAATGGGCAAATACAAGGAGTCACATTGCACCAGAGCATACTGTAGACCTCCAGCCACTCATGAGTGGTCTCAGGATGGGAAAACCTGAACTCTAATTGATTTATTGTTGGAGGATTTGAGGATTAAAAACCACAAATTGACCCAGTCCTAAGTGACTCACACAAATATTGTAATTTTATTTTAGGTAGATTTTCCTTCAGATTTCCAAAGTGACTATCATAGAATAACCTCCCTCTCATAGCTGGGGGAAAAATTAATGAATTGTTTTGAAATACACTGGAGCTTTCTGTTTTTCAAAAGGAGGTCGGCTCCCAGGGGAATCTAGTTCAGCAGAGCCTAACTTCTAGGTATATTATCAGAACCTTAGTAACCTGAGTAAAGAAAATACCCAATTCCCATCAACTCTAGTCTTCCAGGGAAATGCCAAACTTTGGTATACCTTAATCATTCCTGCCCCACCTAAGGAGAAAGAAAGAAATGGACACTTTTGAGAAGTTCACAGTCTACAGGCAGGGGGTCACTAAAATACTGCACCTAATTTTAGGTCTATGGAATGGTTCCTCTCCCCCAAAGCTCACTACCACATTAGTAAAGGCCCATTTACAGCAGTTAATTTTACACAGTACATCATATCCTGCTACTAAGATAAAAATTACAAGACATCAAAAGGCATAAAATCACAGTTTGAAGAGACAGAGCAAGCATCAGAACTAGACTTGGAAGTATTTTGGAATTATCAGATTTGGGAATTAAAAATAACTATGATCGATACGCTAAAGGCACAGATAGGCAACATAGACAGCATGCAAGAACAGATGGGCAATGAGACTGGAAAGCAGGAAATTCTTTTAAAAAAGCACCAATGAGAAATACTGGGCATCAAAAACACTATAACAGAAATGGAGAATGCCATTGATCAGTGTTACTAGTAGACTGAGCATGACTGAGGAAACAAACTCAGAGCTAAAAGATATCTCAATAGAATCCTTTTATAAGACCAAAAAAAAAAAAAAAAAAAAGGTTGGGGGAAAAAAACAGAATATCCAAGATTGTGGGATAACTACAAAAGGTGTAACATATGAGTACTGAAAGAAGAGAAAAAAAATATTTAAAACAATAATGACTGAGAATTTCTCAAAACTAATGTTAGCTACAAACTATAGGTCCAGAGGCTCAGAGGACACCAAACAAGATGAATGCTAAAAAATACAGAGAGACATATTATTTTCAGATTGCAGGAAATTCAAAGATAAAGGAAAAAAAACTGAAAAAAAGTCAGGGAAGAAATACTTCACTTATATTGGAACAAAAATGAGAATTAGCTCTACTTCTCAGAAGCCATACAAACAAGAATAGTGGAGCAAAATATTTTAAGTGTTGAGAGAGGAAAAAACCTTCACCAAACTAGTTTAATGCCCTGAGAATTTATTGTTCAGAAGTTCAAGAGAAATAAAGAATTTCCAAAGCAAAAATTGGGGGAATTGGTTGCCAACTGACCTTTCAACAAATGTTAAAAAACATTTTTTAGAGAAAAGGAAAAGAACATAGGTCAAGAAGAAAAATTAAGAAAAAGTAAGAGCAAGTAAAATAAAAAGCTTTTATATTTATTCATATTTAATTTGGTAGATATTAGTTGTTCAAAATAATACTAAAAGTGTATTTAACTATGCATGTTTTGTGTATATATTTATGTGTATGAAATATATGACAGTATTAATACAAGGGACATCAGGAATGAATTAGAATTATTATATTATAGGATACTCATGAAATAGTGAAGCATTTGAAAGTGGAATTGGATTGGTTGTAAATACATATTACAAACTCCTGGGCAACCACTAAAAATGTTTTTAAAGGTATAACCAAGCTCTTTCTGGACTACATGGTCCCAACTATAACAGAGTTTTCTGGCCTAGTGTCTCCAGCCCCTGACTCACGGCTCTCCTTGCTCTTGGAGGGGAAAGGTGATCAAGAAGCCACACAGCAGCCATAGTTTTTTAAACTATGGAAAGATACACATGGAACTAGAAGTGGAGATTTACTGAATTAAAATAACTCACACCAGCTGCAAGGTGAAACCTTTAGAAAGAATCTCAGTGAATGGACCAGTTTGGATGCTGACCAATACTGAGACTGACTGAAGAAAGATCCCATGTGGTGAAGTTTCTGATATGGGATTGATTGTTTTCAGATGAGGATCCAGAAGTGGCCTATTGTCTTGCACAGTCTTTCTGAGATTGTTTAGCAGATTACTTTTATCAGTATTAAGTCACAAGTTGAGGTTGAAGTCACCATGGCGGTTACTTCCATTGACCTTTAAATACATTGATAATTACTTATTAAAAACAAAAGTAGAAATAATATGCTAAGAACAGAGAAAATGACATCATATAAAATGATTTACTATATGCAATATGTAGGCTATACATGTATGCAATATATACATAAGTGATATATAATAAATAATATAATGCATTATATATTTGTTTTATATAATTATATGTATATACATATTTGTGTGTGTATATGTACCAAGATTTCAATGAGTAATGACATTTAAATCTGCTTATAAAAATAATACTGTTGGTTAAATTTATATTATTTTCTTATAATTTCAGACACTCCTCGTCATCCTATGTAGAAGTAAGTAAACTTATTCTTGATTCACTGGTCTCCCTCAGAGTGAAACAAAATTATTATCACAGTGCTCAGAGCAACAAGTTAACTCCTGGGAAATGATATATAATCAACCATTAAGAAGCAATTATTCTGAATTAGATGCTAGGGAATTAAGTAGTGACCAATCATGTAAATTTCACTATACTCAAATTACCAGGATTGATTTGCTGTAATTCAGCATACTAGGTAAATATCAATACTTCCTCCTACAGAGCTCTATTGCCAACAATTCTTTAATAGGTATTATGTGGAATCATTGACAACCCTCAGAAATAACAAAAATGGTCTCCTCAGAAATGACTGCTAACAAGATTCCCACACTGTCTGCAAGACAGACTTAAGGGTTGGTTGCTCATTGCCATTTCTGGCCTAAGCTACCCAATTAGTAAATAAAAGCAAGAGCAACAGGATGAGAAAGGAATATATTGTGTCCATTAGTGTTTTTAATATATAGTCATGAACAGAATTCAGTAGAAATATAAACATTAAAGATGCTTCTGGTAAGGACTCAAAAAGAAATCAGGAAAATATGATTGGAAAACTGGAAGAAAGGTGATTCTTATTATATAGTTGCACAATATGTAACTGAGTTGTGTCTTACATTGTAGAAAGCAGAGCTTGTAGATGATAAATTTGGAGACATTAGCTAAGGAAATGTCAAGAAAAGTGTCGAGGTTTGTCCTGGTTTCTTGTTGTTGCTTTTGTAAAATATGAGAGGAAAAAGACAAATTGAGAAAAGAAATGTTAAGCAAAAAGGAATCAGCATTTCATAATTTGAAAAATTATGAGCCAATCCAAGTTACAGAAGACACTAATTTTAGATTCATTAGTAGAAATGTATGATCTGTAAAAGAAGGTCAAATGTGTGGATGGAAAGCCTTTTTTTAAGGAGATTAGGTTTATGACTTGTGGATCTACTCTACATTCTCAACAGAAGCCAAAGATAGAGAATAATACAGAAAAAAAAAACTGTGGAAAATAGATATAGGATAATTTAAGAAAGATCTGTGGAAGATCTTTTTGTCTAATGCTATGAATCCCCGGGTTTTTGAGAATGTCATATTTGTGTAAATACTGCTAGTGTGGACTAAAAAGGACAAAGAGAGGAAAAAAAGAAAACGTAGTCAGTTTCCAAATTTTACATAGGGACCACACTAACATTGTTACTTGGCTAGGAACTTGCACTGTCCTACAAGAAAAAGAAAGAATAGCACAGAAGAATGAGCCACAGGTAGAAATATGGGACAGAAATAAGTCTGTGATGCAGATAAGCTGTGATGCAAAGGCAGAGTTCAATGAAATGAGCATAGTAGCAAAGTTGAATATACAGACAAAGAGATGGATTATACAGACAAAGAGACAGAACCTACAGAGCCACCACAGATGCAGAGGGAAATGCTTGTGGAACCAATTCTGGGGACCAACCTTGGGAAGCTGAAACTGCCATGGACCTGGACATGGAGCCATGGGTCAGAATTCATCATAGATTTTGAACTTTCTTGTGTGTCCTCCCCTTTGAAATAGGAATTTTTTGACTGTTACCATACCTATATCCCATCATTGTATCTTACAATTTACCTGTTTTCTACTTTCAGACATCCAGAAATGAAGAGAAATTTTGTCCCAGGAAAAATCATGACAAGTATCTCACCCATGTTTGATTTAGATGATGGCATTTGAGAGTTTTGAGCTGAGGACATTTAGGTGAGATTTTGAACTTAGTTAATGTTATAATAAGTTGGAACCTTGGGGAGTGCTGTGATGGGATGAATGCATTTTGTGCATTGGGCTGATGCAACTGCAGGGGCTGGGAGGGAACCTGTGGATAGACAGTAGTAGACTGAATGGTGGCCCCCAAGTGGTTCACATCCTTATGCTCAGTACCTGCAAATGTTACTATATCTGGATAAAGATTTTTTTGCAGATATAATTGAATTAAGAATCTTGAGATGATGACATCATTCTGGACTATTTTAGTCACTCTTAAATACAATGACAAATGTCCATAGAAGTAATGAACAGAGAAGAGACACCAAGGAGGAAACAACGTGAACATGGAAACCGAGATTGCAGAGATGTGTCCACAAATAAAAGAGCACCTGAGGCAACCAGAAGTTGAAAGAAACAAGAAAGAATCCCCTCTCCAGAGCCTTTACAGGAAGTGTGGCTCGGTTGACATTTGGAATTAGGCCCTGGCAACCATCCAAAGTGTACGACAATGTATTTTTGCTGTTTTAAAATACCAAGTTTGTGGTAATTCATTATAGCAATATAGGAAATTAATACAGTGCTAATCTTAAAGTGGTAATGGGGTGAGAGGAGGCTTAATTTTTTGGTTATACTCTCTTCTAGTAATCTTCAGAAGTCTTGTCAGGTTTTTTGTTGTTGTTGTTTTTTACCAGTAGTATATTCAATAGGTTGACCTTGTGATCTTCCATGCTCCCACAATCTTCTAAGCAAAGGCCTTCAAACTGAGTAAAGGCAAAACTGTTTTTTTTTTTTTCCCCAGAAAGAAAGTAATATTAGTTCTGCCATTAGATAGTCTTTATACAGACATAGAAATTGTATATTATTCCATTGGGGCTGAAATATTTTAGACTTTAAAACTTTTGTAACCCAACAAAAAAATTTTAAGCAGATACTTGTTGACCTGCTTTTATCTAAATAATGCATATGTCTTCCCAACCACCTAGATTCTTGCACTGTAGATACACTTGGGATATTAATATTTCATTGTCTTTCTCCAGGTCCCACACAAAGCACATATAATTAATGTTCCCAAGAACAATGATCGATATGCTTTAAAAAAAGAAGAAAAAAAGGTAAGCTAACCACTTATCTATTTCTTAAATCTTTGAACTCTATTCTCAAATAAATTCAAATCTTAATGTTACAAGCATAAAATATGTACTATATTTTCTCTGCTTTTATTAATGTCAATGATAAGAAACAATGAATATCTTTGCATTTTCAGTAACACGCATAAAAAAATATTGTGAAATGACTTTCTTCATTGCTAGAACAACCTCATCTTTATGTAATAGTAAGTCCTTACAGATGCCCAAAAATTAACTGATTCATGAGCCTTCTTAATCACATCCCTTAATGTTTAATTATATTATAGATATGTTAACATTTATTAATAGTTAAAAATCACTTTGAACATGAAGAGTGTCACAATTCTCTGATCATTATTAATTTATATGGAAAAATGCAAGACACTAACAAAGAAGATTGAACTCTTTCCATGACCAGGTATATTTAAACATTGTTAGTTCTTATATGATGATTAAAGTTTATGCTATAGTAATCTATAAAAATTGTGTTTCTTCTGCTAGTAAAATGACTTATTATTTTAAAAATGAAATTAAAATAATTAGCTAATGTTTATTTGTTCAATACAAGACTTACTGTACAAAGTTTGGGTGTTCTTTTGTTTTGGTAGCTTACATAAAGGAACAGATGTTTATCAGTTATATCATTCCTATCTGAACACAACAATTATCAAGTTTAACTATATAGCCAAAATGAGAAAATAATTACTTCAATTTGTGAATCATTCTTGAGTATCTATTTATATGGATGGCACTGTTTCAGCAGCGGTAAATGCAAAATTTATGAGGTGAATCGCTAATCCAATACCATGTAGTGGAGATGGTAGGTCACTTGAGAGCCATTGACAGTCCCCAGGGAGTCGGCAATCATTTCCGTCTGCTAAACATGCAGATGTTGTAGAGACTCATGATGCCACCACATCTCTTTTGAGCTGTGTGACGCCACAGAATTTACAGACTAGGCAAATGTCTTCCTGTGAAAAATAAATGTTTAAGTTAAAGCAAAAATAACAAGCAAAATTAATTGTCAAAGCCAACGTTAAGATATAATCTAGGGGGAGGGGCGGAGCAACATGGCGGCGAGGAGACACTGCGAGTAAGATCTCCCATTAAAAAAAGTGAATAGGGAGGAAAAGCGGCAGGTCCCAGTGAGAACTGGGACACGGAAGATAAACGGGTGACGCCAGCAAACTGCCCGAAGAAGAAAGTTGCCATAAAAGAGGACTAGAAGGGAGGGAAGCACAGAACCCTGCTCCCCTCCCCCGCCCACAGAGGCGGCACTCTCGGACCGGCAGAGAGAAGGAAAACAACAAACCAAAATGGCCCACAAGAACAAACGACACAGCAAGCGGGACTGTGAGTGGAAAGGAACTATTGCAGCCACCACACCCCGTGAACGGGAGCTGAGGCGAACCCTGCAGGATTCTTGCGGCGGTGAGCGAACGGCTCCGGGTGCCATTAGAGAAGAACAAAGACCCCGGGAGACGCGCACACAGCCCGGGCTGCCGGTAAGCTGGCGCGGAAAGCGGCGTGCTTGGAGCGCTTGAAAAGCAAGTGCAGACCGGGATCTCTGCTGCCCAGGTCCCCGCGCCTGCGACCTAGGCTTGGGAGACGACCTAGGCTTGCGGGGAGATGCGCGGAGGTCCTCACTGAGGTGAAGGTCCCTCCCTGAGTAAGCAGGAACCAGGCGTCCAGGCACGGGAGCGGTGCAAAAGGCGCCATTCCCGCGCCACTGAACTGGGCTACAGCCCGCGTCCTGGAACTGAGGGCTTTGGAACTGAGACCCGGGGCACGAAATTAGGGGCGTGGGTTCCCCACGACGGTGGGGCACAAGGCAGACACAGCACCCCAAAGCCGTTGAGGTGTACCCTACCATCCCCGCTCTGCTCCCTGTCCCACGGGGTGGAAAATCAGCTCCCCAAGGGCTCTAGGAGAGATCTCTGGCGCCACCTAGCGACTTGAAGCCAGCACAGGCTCCTGAAGGAGCTAGTGGCCAGCTGGGGAGTTAGCCCACACCGGGCCCCTTCCGAACAAGTAGTCTAAGCCCACAGGGAGAGCAAGCACCCACAGCCGGGGCAGACCAGGCGCGCAGAAGAGTGTGCCTGAGACTGGACGCGCAGGGAGTGTGTCCCACATCACCATTTTAGAACAGGGACATTTCTTCAGTAAAGACTACCTGCAGAAGGCTTCCTCAGGAGCCAGAGGTGAGCAGGGGAAGTTCGCCCACGCCAGACCCCCTCTGGCCTTAAGTCCAAGCCCAGAGGGGGAACAGGAACCCACCGCTGGGGCAGACCAGGCGCACAGGGGAGTGTGTCCCCACATCGGCATTTTAGGACAGGGACCTTTCTCCAATAAAGACTGCTTGAAACTGACAGATGACTCCTGGAGGAACCAGAGGGGAGCAGAGAAGCCCACCCAAGATGCCGGCCAGTCCCAACAACACAGTGTCCCAACGCATACGGCAAATTAGAAAACAGACAGTAGGGAGGAGAAGAACCACACGCAACCTAGCAACTCTCCAGAGAAAAAGCACACCACAAAAAGAAAACCAGCCCCCAGATTGCAACGACAGTAACTTGGAAGAACTTCTGAGCCTTCCAGAAAGAGAATTTAAAATTGCCGTGATTAAAAAACTGACAGAAGTCATAAAGGAAAACAATGATAAGGGAAAAATAATCAACGATCAGAAGAATGCAATTGAGTCCCTAAAGAGGGAAGTAAAAGAAATGCAGGAGATCAAAGAATTAGTGGAAGAACTAAAGAATTCTGGGAAAAGCAATGAAAGCAGAATTGATGAAATGGAAGAATGAATAAGTGCTCTTGAAGACACAGAAATAAAAAGAACCAAAACAGAAAAGGAAAGAGAAGTACGAAGCAAAAAGAATGAAGAAAGACTTCGGGAACTATCTGACTCCATGAGGAAAGGAAATATAAGAGTTATAGGAATACCAGAAGGAGAGGAGAGAGAAGTAGGAACAGAGAAAATATTCAAAGAGATAATTGAAGAGAACTTCCCAAATGTGAAGAAGGAGCTGAAAATTGATATACAAGAAGCAAGAAGAACACCAAACTTCCACGACGAAAGAAAAAATACAGCAAGACACATAATAGTAAAGCTCCCTAGAATCCAGGACAAGGAAAAAATAATGAAGCTGGCAAGAGGGAAGAAACAGATAACATTCAAAGGAAAGCCAATCAGGCTGACATCAGACTTCTCCGAAGAAACACTACGGGCAAGGAGAGAGTGGAGGGACATAGTCAACAGACTCCAAGAAAACAGATGCCAACCAAGAATACTCTATCCCGCAAAGCTCTCCTTCCTCTTTGAAGAAAGAATATGGACCTTCCCAGACAAACAGAAACTCTGGAATTTCATTGCAACTAAACCCCCACTCCAAAAAATACTACAAGGAGTCCTAAAGACAGAACCTCAGAGGGACGAATAACAATGAAAGAAGGCCAAAAAAAAAAAAAAAAGTTATTAAAAGAATAAATAAATAAAATCAAAGGAAAGACAAACACAATGGCAAATACAGATGTTAACATATCAATATTAACTCTAAATGTAAATGGACTAAACTCTTCAATAAAAAGACACAGAGTGGCAGCCTGGATTAAGAAACAAAACCCAACCTTTTGCTGTCTCCAGGAAACACATTTAGCTACAAAAGATAAAAATAGGCTCAAAGTTAAAGGATGGAAAACAATCCTACAAGCAAATGGACCAAAAAAGAAAGCAGGAACAGCTATACTTATATCAGATAAAACAGATTTCAAACTCAAAAAGATAAAAAGAGACCCCAATGGTCACTACATTATGATCAAGGGGACAATACTTCAAGAAGAAATAACACTCATTAACATATACTCACCAAACGAAGGAGCACCAAAATATATCAGACAACTGTTGTCCTCTCTGAAAACAGACATCAGAGAAAACACATACGTAGTGGGAGACTTCAACACACCACTATCAACAATGGATAGATCAACAAGACAAAAAATAAGTAAAGAAACCAAAGCTCTAAATAAGGACCTAGAGCAATTGGGCTTAACAGACATCTATAGAACACTAAACCCCAAAAAAACGGAGTACACATTTTTCTCAAGCGCACACGGATCATTCTCCAGGATCGATCACATACTGGGGCACAAGACAAACATCAACAGATACACCAAGATTGAAATCATATCAACCATCTTTTCTGACCATGAAGGCATCAAACTAGAAATAAACCATAAAAAGAAGGCAAGGAACTTTCCTACCTCATGGAGATTAAAAACCACACTACTGGAAGACCACTGGCCTAATGAGGAGATCAAAGAAGAAATTAAAAAATTTTTTGAATTGAACGACAAGGAGGACACCAATATCCTAAATGTATGGGATGCAGCAAAAGCAGTAATAAGAGGAAAATATATAGCAATAGAAGCTCACATCAAGAAACAAGAAAGAACGCAAAGAAACAACCTAATCTCGAAGCTCAAAGATCTAGAAAAAGAACAACAAAAAAACCCCAAAACCAGTAGAAGAAAAGAAATAATAAAAACCAAAGCAGAAATAAATGAAATTGAAACTAAAAAAACAATCCAAAAGATCAATGAAACCAAAAGCTGGTTCTTTGAAAAAATCAATAAAATAGACAAACCCCTAGCCAGGCTCACAAAGGAAAAAAGGGAGAAAGCACAAATAAACAGGATCATCAATGAAAGAGGAGAAATCACAACGGACACAGCAGAAATCAAAAGAATAATCAGTAACTACTATGAACAGTTATATGGAAACAAGTTTAACAATCTAGAGGAGATGGACAAATTCCTACAACTCTACAATCACCCAAAGCTAGATAAAGAAGAAATAGAACACCTAAACAGACCAATTACAATTAGCGAAATTGAAATGGTAATCAAAAACCTCCCCAAAAACAAAAGCCCAGGACCTGATGGATTTACAAATGAATTCTACCAAACATTCAGAGACGAATTAGTGCCTATCCTTCACAAACTCTTCCAAAAAATTGAGAAGGAAGGGACAATACCAAACACGTTCTATGAAGCCAACATTACACTAATACCAAAACCGAACAAGGACAACACAAAAAAGGAAAACTACAGGCCAATCTCCCTAATGAACACTGATGCAAAAATCCTCAATAAAATTTTAGCCATCAGAATCCAACAATGTATCCATAAGATAATTCACCACGACCAAGTTGGATTCATTCCAGGGGCACAAGGATGGTTTAACATCCGAAAATCAATCAACGTTATCCAACACATCAACAAAAAGAAATATAAAAACCATATGATAATATCAATAGATGCTGAGAAAGCTTTCGACAAAGTGCAACACCCATTCATGATAAAAGCCCTTGAAATTCTGGGGATACAAGGAACATACCTCAACATCATAAAGGCCATATACGACAAGCCAACAGCCAGTATCATTCTCAATGGTGAAAAGCTGAAAGCAATTCCATTAAGATCTGGAACAAGACAAGGATGTCCACTCTCACCACTGCTTTTCAATATAATACTGGAAGTCCTAGCCAGGGCAATAAGACAAGAGAAAGACATCCAAGGAATCCAAATAGGAAAAGAAGAAGTCAAACTATCACTATTTGCAGACGATATGATATTATACATAGAGAACCCCAAAACTCCACAGAAAAGCTAATTCAACTCATCAATCAGTTCAGTAAAGTGGCAGGATACAAAATCAACACGCAAAAGTCAGTAGCCTTCCTATACACAAACAATAAATCTGAAGAAGAAGAAATCAAAAAAACCATCCCTTTTGTTATTGAAACAAAAAAAATCAAATATTTGGGAATAAATCTAACAAAAGAGGTAAAGGACCTATACAAAGAAAACTATAAAACACTGTTAAAAGAAATAGAAGAAGACACAAAGAAATGGAAAGACATCCCCTGCTCGTGGATTGGAAGAATAAACATTATTAAAATGGCCATTCTTCCAAAAGCAATATACAGATTCAATGCTATTCCAATCAAAATTTCAATTTCATTCTTCAAAGAAATAGAACAATTATTGATGAAATTCATATGGAATCACCAAAAACCCCGAATAGCCAAAGCTCTCCTGAAAAAAAAAGAAGGGAATGGAGGCATTACACTCCCAGATTTCAAACTATACTACAAAGCCATAATCATCAAAACTGCATGGTATTGGAACAAGAACAGACATACAGACCAATGGAATCGAATAGAAAATCCAGAAATAAACCCACAGATTTATGGTCAACTAATCTTTGACAAAGGAGCAAAGAATATGCATTGGAGCAAAGAAAGTTTGTTCAATAAATGGTGCTGGGAAAACTGGGTCGCTACATGCAAAAGAATGAAGCTTGACCACCACCTCACACCATACACAAAAATCAACTCAAAATGGATTAAAGAACTAGACATAAGACCTGAAACCATAAAATATATAGAAGGAAATATAGGCGAAACACTACGTGATTTGCACATCAAAGACATCTTTACAGACACATCACCCAAAGCAGTGATAGTGAAGGCAAAGATAAACAGCTGGGACTACATCAAATTAAAGAGCTTCTGCACAGCAAAAGAGACAATAACCAAAACAAAGAGAAACCCCACCAACTGGGAGAACGTTTTTGCACCCAACACTAATGATAAAGGACTGATCACAAAAATCTGCAAAGAGCTGATGAGACTCAACAACAACAAAGAAAATAATCCAGTCAAAAAATGGGCAGAAGAGCTAAAAAGAAACTTCTCTGAAGAGGAAATGCAAATGGCCAACAGGCATATGAAAAAATGTTCAACATCACTTGCCATCAGGGAAATGCAAATCAAAACTACCATGAGATACCATCTTACACCAGTGAGAATGCCACATATTAAAAAAACTAGCAACAACAAATGCTGGCGAGGGTGTGGAGAAAAAGGAACTCTTCTGCACTGTTGGTGGGAGTGCAAACTGGTCCAACCACTGTGGAAAGCTGTGTGGAGATTTCTGGACCTACTAAACATAGAACTTCCATATGATCCAGCAATTCCACTCCTAGGTATTTACCCAAAGGACACAGAAACATCCATTCCAAAGAACACCTGCACCCCTATGTTTATAGCAGCACTGTTTACAATAGCTAAGCTTTGGAAACAACCCAAATGCCCAAAAATAGATGACTGGATCAAGAAGATGTGGTACATATATACCATGGAATATTACTCAGCATTCAAAAAAGATAAACACATGCAATTTGCAGCAACATGGATGGCGCTGGAAGGGATCATGCTCAGCGAAATAAGCCAAAAAGAAAAAGAAAAATACCGGATGGTCTCACTCATAGCAGGAATCTAGAAAACTTAAATAAGGGACCAGGAAAATGAATAACTATAAGAAAGTGAAAATCAAAATCAACAAAAAACTATGAACCAGAGACACTTTTTTGGGGCGGGGCGGGAGGGAGGGATTGGGGTCAGAATGGGGGGGCTGCAATTGTATGGGGAATATAACAATAAAATTTATTATTAAAAAAAAAAAAAAGATATAATCTACTTCACATCTCCCCTTCTCACTCATGAACACTTCTTTGGCTCAATAGATTGAAATGTGTAAAATCAATACCTCCATTAATTATTTAAAAGAAAAAATACACAATTATTTTTTGACTTAAATCACTACTTTCATCTGTACATAAATCATCTTGTGATCAAATGTGATCTCACTATCCATTGAAAAAATATGCTTCCCCACTGAAGAATGAAACATGGCTAAATAAAGTGAGACAGATTTCTTGTCTGCATTTTACCCTGCACCGTAACACATTCTAAGACATATCAGCGACATTATCTATGCTTACTGACCCTTGTAATAAAATTGAAATTTTCTCACTTTAAATAGAGATAAGTTAAACATTGCATGAATCTATTAAATAGAATCACCAAGATATTATATTTTTGGTTTAGTTAGCATTGACCAAGACAGGAAATTTGTATAGCATTACTGAATATATAATTGTAAACTGTATTAAAGTACTGACTGATTTTTTTTCCTTTTCTACTAATATTTAACTATTGTTTAATAAATTAAAACATATACATTAACATGTGTTCATATTTCTATGAAAATGTTATAAAGATATAGCCTGGTTATTTAATTTTAATATGTATTTTTTAAAGATTTATTTATTTGTTTGTTTGTTTGTTTGTTTGTTTATACATACAAGAGCTGATATAGGCCAGATGTGCAGGAGGGTGAGATAAATTCACCAGAGACAGAGTGGGAAACAGGCAGACAGACCAAAAGCACTGCTGAGGGGAGCAGCGGGTGAGACAGGAGAGGTCTGCCGCGCCATGTGAGTATCTCTGCGGCTGGCTGGGATCAAATACGCACAGCAGAGGCTGCATGCAGACAGCTTCACAGTGTTGCACTCAACCACCTATGCCACCAGGGGGGCCCTAAATGTGTATTTTAAAGTTATCATAAGCAACAAATTTCTATGCTATCTCAGAAGATGTGCTTTCCTTTTCAATCAACTATAGTGGTGATGCAACTTAAATAAGGATACATTTGCAAAGACAGAATATACTTCATTTATCATGTATTATACAAATTCTTGTTTTCTATCACATAATGTCTTTCTAACTTAATGTTGTATGCACAATTATATGTAGCAATGTTTATGCATATCAATGTTTGAGAACTACTGAGCTCCTAGAGTAAAGGAAAAAACAAAGTGAAATTCTATGCAGATATCATGGAGTTCAACCCATCTAATCTTTAAGATAACTAACCTTACAGGACAATGAAAGGAGACTATGTCAATGATTACATTGGGTTCCAAGTGGACTTACTTTATCATTGAATGCTCTTATATCATGCAGATGCCAGAGCTTAAAGAACTATCACATTTCTATACTAATTGGGAAATAGGAATTGAATTCTAAATGTTTGACTTTTCTCAAAGGATTTACTCTAACATGCTGTCTTACTAAATATTCATCTTTCATCTTAGTGAATGTTAGTACATTTTTTGGAACCACCTACTTTATGATGTTCCAGGCTTTCTCCATCTCATTAACTTGACTTTTTGTCCTCCTGAAATATTCTTACTCATTAATGTACATGATTAAGTTGTTCTTCAGCTCTAATATTATCAGGGAGACCTCCCAATACCAGCCTTATAAGATAGCGCTGTGCTAGCACTACCTGTCACATTTTTTTAACTTTTTTTCTCATAGCACTTATTAATATTTGATTTTTATATCTTTCCTTTCCTTATAGTTTCTTTACTCAATACTAGAATTTAATATCCATCTTTTCATAGATAGGCTGCCTGTTTGCCAGAGAGTGCCATTAGAAGAGTATCAGAACTATAGTAGGATTTCCTTATATAATTGGGTAATCCCTGAATAAATGAATGAATTAAAATTAAAGTGGGTTATGTAAGACAGAATGGTGTATTCTCTACTAAGTTAAATGCATGCATTGGCAATTCTAGTCTCATCCATTCTCATGTGCATTCATGTTCACATACATGTTGCATAGTTCATTTTAGATCATGAAAGCATTTGACTTGCCCTCTCAAATTTTTGTGTATTTGTTTTCTTAGAGCCAAAGAAACAATACACATCACTATATAATAAAGCAAACAATAGAGAAAATCAGCAAAACTCAAAACTATTTCTTGGAAAAGATAAATAAAATTGGTAAATTTGTAGCCATGAACTGCAATATCATATATGAAAGATGAAACATGAATACCAAACTCATGAGCATTAAAAACATGATGATGTAATACTTCAGATAACTCTGTGACCACATATTTGATAATTTAGATGGAAAGGATAAAATCCTTGGAAGATACAAATTATAAATATACATACATTTAACAAAAATTATAACATTTTACTAAATCCATGTATAATATGAAACTTATAAGTTTCACAACTGATTATTAAAGAAAAGCTCAGTCTGTAAGTATAAGATGACTGCATCTTGTTGCAAATTGGATCTGACCTGTTATGTTTTTTTTTTAATCTTTTTTTAGAATACTTTTTTTTAGGATTTATTTATTTTTATACAGGAGCTAGGGCACAGGCCAGAGGTGCGGGAGGGTGAGAGGACTCACTAGAGAAAGAGCAGGGAGCAGAACAGGCAGACTGAAGAAATACACTGATGAGGGGAGCAGCGGGCATGATGGGAGAGGTCTGCCACACCATGTGGGAATCTCCGTGGCTGGCCAGGAATTGAACCAGCACTGCAGAGGCTGCAGACAGCTTCACAGAGCTGCGTCAACCCTCTGTGCCACTGGGGAGGCCCTGACCTGCTGTGTTTAAAGGTACAACATTGACAGATTTAGGAAGCAGAAGTTATTCATAGTGTTAGAAAAGATCTAATGCCTAAAACAATTCCTCATGCAGATATACCTTTAGTATACATTATATGAATGTGTTAAAACATTGACATTTCCAGGAGATATAACTATGCAGTAATTGGTACTGGAGAAAGAATGCATTACCATTTCAAGTCAATAGCAACACAGTGTAGATTAGATGATCTGATTGTAAAAGGGGAATGAAATAAAGAGGAGACAATTTTAGACAAAGATGAATTAAATAGTGAATGTACAAATCAAAAAATATGCTTAGCAATTCTTCAAACTGAATGACTTCAATGGGCATTATTGTCTTCAACCCTCCCTGTCTCTCCTCTAAAAACATATAAATATTTCTTAACATTTCAAATGTTCTTTCTGCAAAAACTCACTGAGCGATTTATAAATTCTTTTATGTGAGACCTAACCTCTCACACATTGTCATGTGTTTCCAGGTAATGTCCTCTAATGGCCTTTCCCCACCTTTTCTCTAAACTAATGTATTTTCAGTTGTCTCCTGAAGTTTTCTGGATTAATTTCCCTTTTCTATACATAGTGTTCTGTGATTGCTTCTAGCACATTTTTATCAAGTAGAATAAAAAATTAACTGGTAGTAAATTACCTACTGGTTTGAGAACCCCTTGTGAGTAAGGACTGTGTGTTTTATTTATTTCAACTTAACAACTGGCAACCTAGCACAAGATTTGAATAAAAAGATGCTCAAAAATTATTTTTGAAGAAAGAATGAATGCCTTAAGAGGAAACAAACTTTATTTTCTCTTTCAGGAGAAAAAATGGTGGTTATGAAAATGACAGAGGAGTTTGTCACCGGAGGATGCTGACAACTACTAAAATTAGTTTATACTTAAATATAAAAGTACATAGCTTTATGGTTAGGACAGCCCTACTCTTGGACATTAATTAGAATCTAGGAAAGCTTTACTGAAGAATAAAAGAAAAGAGATTTAGATACAAGGAACTAGCCAGGAAAGCTTTCAGGAGGTACAAAGTAGGTGATATTTATATTAGGAGACACTTAAAGGGTTAAGACAAAGACTTCATTCTTTATCCAGAGACTGCTAAAGGCAGGATCCAAGAATTCTGAAGAATTACACAGCAGAAATTCACCAAGCCCAGAGGGGGAAAACAAAGAATGACATGGCAGAAAGGGTTGAGGAGAAGAAGAGGATAGCATCAAGACAGAAATTTTGAGTTTCAGAGAATGGAAAATTAGAATATTTTAGAGTATTCTTCTTTCTATAGAACAGAAGGAAGATTGAAAAAACTACCTGCAGTAGTTCACCTGTAGTGAAGCTAGAGAAAAGAAGTAATGAACAAAGCCAGTTTAGAACTGGACTTGGATCTAGGAAATAATAATAATAATAATAATAATAATAATAATAATAATAATAATAAAATATGAATAGTGAGTAATTGAGACTATAGAAATGAACATGCTTTATATATCCAGTTGCCTGATTTCACATTAAGCATTTTCACAAGTATAATCCCATTTATTCCTCTCAAAATTTGTATGTATTAAGAATTATTATCTCCATGTTGTAGATAATATCATTCAAACTCAAAGAATGACTCTGCTAAGATCAGGTAGACAGGAAGGGACAGGTCTGTGTCTTTAAGGGTTATCTTCTGATTGCAAGGCTGTCTGTTTCCTGCATTCCTTTCAAACTCTGTTCTTTTATTGTGCTCTACTAGCAGTATATAAATACTAGGGACACATGAGAGTTCTAAGATAGCTGAGAGAAAAATAATAAGAATAATTTCATCTGCATCTTAATTTAGCCGGGAGTAATAGCCCAATCAAAAATGTCATCATAATTCTTCCTGGAATTATTTGGCTTCTGCATTTTTTGGAATGAACTTGGTGATTGTTTCTCATTGGAAATCATTAGCATTTAGTTGTCAAATAGTGAAATTGTTAACGTTTGAAGAAGCATTTACTGTATAGTTTCATTTCAGTTGTTATGACTACAGTTCCCGAAGACATTCAGCATAAATGCTTAAGAGAGATGTAATAAATCCTATAATATTGATAGCTATTTTTTTTTATAATTTGTTAACTTGGAGACTGAAAACATGAGCTACTTAAAATGTGGAAATACTGCATTGCATGTGAAGGGACATTCAAATTGCTCTTTCAAATCTGTTTGTTTTTCTTTGCTACTTAGAAAGAGACCTAGAAGCAAGTATAACAGAGATACTCATAAAAACAGATGGCAATGATTTAATCCAGAATCACACATGGACCATTAAATACTAGTCTTAGAACACTGCCTGCAAAGAATTTTTAGTATCTTAATCCAAACAATGAGATAATAAGGCAATCTTTGTGGTGAAAGAACTAATCATATCTATTATATGAAAATAAAAATGGAAAGTCCAAAAGATAGAAATTAATAGAAGGAAAATTAATATTTAAAGTAAATTCTAAGAAAGAACAAAGATTTATTCACATATATGCTGTTGTGGTTTGTATCGTTTTAATAAAGCAATAATTTACTGATATTTACTATGATCTTTGCATTTATAAATAAATTAAAAATGTATTCAAAAGAATGGAAATTTAGGGTTCTCTAAGTATAGTCTAATCAGTTTTTTAAGTGGTATTATCAAAACTTTTCACATAGACGTGTATGAATTTTCAGTTATAAAAGTATTATTTATTGGGCCTCCCTGATGGAGGCAAGGGGTTAAGCACTGCACTATGAAGCAGTCTGCAGCCTCTGCAGTCTGAGTTCGATCCCCGGCCGGCCAGAGAGCAACCCACATGGCACAGCAGATGTCTCCTGTGTCCCTCGCTGCTCCCCTCAGCAGTGTATTTCAATTAGTCCACCTGTTCTGCTCTCCACTCTGTCTCTGGTGGATCCTCTCACCCTCCACATCTCT